TTAAGAATCGTAAGTCTATACTCGTTTATCGTAGTATACTTTTTTTATTAAATTTTTGTGTTAGTACTGCGGTACTGCTACCAACTTCGTGCATGATTTCGTTCACTTTTCGAATCATTCCTTGTACGTTCCAGATCAAAAATCATAGTCTTTGTTCTGTGTTTGGGTCTTCTTTGGTTTTACGATTTCGTGTCCGAGGCTTTTGATTGGGTAACTTAACACTAGGTTTTTCTCAAATATAAAAGAGTAGGTCTAATGCTTCAACTCCCAACTTTAAGGTCCAGGGAATTTTTGACCGAGGTTTCATTCTTTCCCGTGGCTTGTGACGAATCACAACGCCAATACTACAGGGCAGCCGCTCGAGAGCAGGTATTTTAAATAAAATTTGTATAACAAAAAGATTCATGAGAAAATATCAAGAAGTTTCCTTCAAGATAAGATTTCTAGTAGGTAGGACAATTTACACACTATAAATTATATTTTACTCATTTCTGCCATGGATGTCTATGAAATATAAAAATATCAATGATTTGCAAAAAAAAGTCCCACACTCTGGGTGGCAGAGTTTATACTTGGGTTAGTGGTAAAACTTAAACATTTAAGAGCAACAGTAGGAGAAAAAGAAACATTTTGAGACGAAGTAACTACAAGGCAAGAAACTACGAATAAACAAATACCTACAATATGGTAGGACACTTTGACGAAAGTTGGTAATAGTCTCGGTAATAGTGATTCAATTATTTCTCTATAAATTTAAGAAAAGATTATTGATATACAAGAAAAGATAACCAAACGCTTGGCGTGCAAGTTCAATACTAACAAATTTAGAAGCTTCGCATTTGGAACCAAAGTTGAATTTCAAATAATTCAGATCAAAATTTAAAACATCTCAGTGCTTTTTACATTTTTTGGAAAATAACTGAAAAGGCCGGAATTCTAGTTATCTTATTTTTTTGTGTGAAATTCCAATATTAATAAACCCCGGTTCTGCTATTATTGATTGTTTATTGTAAAAAAGTCTTCCTGTAGGTATAATAATTACCTACATAGTTGAGAAAGCTGTGGTTAAGAGTAGAGCAGAAATTCGGTTTTCTGCGGTTCAGGCACCAGAAACAAACAATCAGCATTCGAAATCAAATGGCAAATACACCATCAGCCAGCATCTCAAAAATTCTAGTGGTCCATGCCCAAGTGATCTATCTTTCTGCATTGGAATTTTCCTGCAAGTCTACCTACTGCTATTTCGCGTTTATCCATACCCACGAATCTGCTACCACCCAACTCTAAGCCAAGCTGCCCACCATGGTCACAAGTTTGTCCCATATGTGGTCACACTGACGCCCATAACTACCGCCGATGTTCTTTCATAGAACCGAAGGCCTGGCCTACCTCAGTTGTCCGTCGATTGTCGAACAGAACTCGTAGTGCGCGCGCTATTCAAACCGCTGCTTTGGCTTGCTTCAAGCGAATTGTAATTTGTTTCCAGTTTTCGAATTGAGTTTTTTGTTCATGTGCCATATGATAGACTTTTTTTCGTAAGTGTCCATTGTAATAATGGATTAATTTATATAGTCAATTACTAGCCGTCAGTGTGCCGAGGAATTTCCATCGTAAAAGAAATTATTATTGTGCCTGAAGGGCAATGTTGTGGTGTGTTTTCTTGCTCGGTTGAACCAGATAATGATTGTTGAAAGAGTATATTTGAAGCCTGGGAAGATTTTCTTTATTCTTTTTTTGATAAAGAAATAGAAGTCCAGCATTTACATTTATAAACGATAAATCCAATAGCTGTCCCTATTTTTTTTTTTCGATTCCATCTAAGAGCTGGTATCAAAAGTTCCGCAGACACCTAAATTTGGTAATAATTACTTTCCTTGTCATTTACATATCAGACCATCAGGTACTTAATTTTGTTGTGAATTGTTAATTAAGTACCGACAAAATTTCGGAAATTAGTCGTAAACGTAAAACCAACTTAGTCTTAAAAGAGGCGTTCAAAATCAAATATCCTGCTTTTCATTGCAAAATGCAATGAAAAGATATTCCTAATTATCAATATTTTTTATCAGTAGGTTATTTCTCAGGGTACCCATGGAATAAATGAAATTGAAACATATTATATGTATTGATTTTTGCCCTTTGAATTCACAGAAATATATATCAATTGACGCAATCAAAATTGATGATATTTAATAAACACAAAATTTTTTTGCAAATTGTTATGCATCATCGAAACTAGATTCCAAAATAAGGAAGTTGACTTTATTTTGCACTATAGATTTCATCTACATGATGTTCTGTCAAGATAGTTAAAAAAGTAAATATTTACCTGCCTTGATTAACACAGATGACTTTAGGATCACGTCATCGATAATCTACGACTTGGGTCTAAGACGACGATTCTGAAAAAAAAAATCCAAGGTTCCCCACTAAAGAATTTTCTGTGCTTGATGGCTTCCCAGAAATATGATTTAAATGCAGATATGTTTTACCAAATGTGTAATTTCCTTTTAAGTGTTTGATTGATTTTCATTACACATCGATCTAGAGCTGGATATCCATGTTTATTGGATGATCTAGTCCTTTATTTATTTGCAGCAGTACCAAGATCAGTAGCATAACAAGAATATTCACCTTATTCAAATTTCAACTTCAATGCGTAATGCGTGATTTGTGACGCCATTATGATTACTATAATTGGATTTTATCGTATTGTAACACTAATAACGATAAAACTGTTTGAACACTGTTGTAAGTAAACATACAATACAAATTTGGCCATGTTTCCATCATCGTTACCCATTATCGTTTCTCTTGATAAATGAATATTCAGTGGTGAAGTCACAAACTAAACTAGGTGGTCCAGATTCTAGCACCTATATAGATATGAACAGTTAGATTCTTCAGTTGGCATTTCAAATTCATAACATAACATCATGTCATGGGACCACTCTGTATCTATATTGTAAATTACAAAATAATAATCTGAAAATTATCGATAATATTGACAAACGCGTTACCTTGAATGTCTTCTTAATATAGTCATGATGAGGATGAAAAACGTGAAATTTTGAAAAGTAATAGGTAGGTATGTCGTTAAAAACCATCGTCGGCGGTAATAATTATTAAATTTATTGCATACGGGAGCACGCATAAAAAATAATGTTAAAATTTATTTTTAATATTGTAAATTAATTTTCATTTCACTAGTTAATAAATTTGCAGTGGTTGAAACCATCGAACACTTAAGATTGTCCAATGTCTTAAAATTCCTAGAATCAACAGATTAACCTAACAGAACTTAATTATTATTAGTGCCTCTAAACTTCATTTACATATAAATTAAAAAGTTTGTTTTTTTTTGGCGATAAACTTGCTTTTATTTATGTATAGGACCATCTTTTACGCATTACCAAATTTGTCCACTTTTCAGCCTTCATAAATAATGAAGTACCTTGTCAAGTTCTAGAAGCAAGCTTGTGTAATCCTCAAATTTATTATTTTTCTCAGGATTTACTTATAGGAATTATGATTTCCATTTCTATTAGGGAGCATAATAAATAATATTCAAAGTTTAAAGTAATATATATGATCAGCAGCTAGGAGGTTGATGACGATTCACAGTTTTCAACTTACACAAAAATTCAGGTTAACTTGATTCTTTCGCAAAGAACACAAGTAAAAGTAAAACCATCATCATCCATTGTCCTTATCTTATTGGATTATCCGCCCACCTACTTACTATTACTGAAATAATGTGTTCTAAACACGAGCCTGCACACACGAGAAATTGATTTTTAATTATCCGCTTTACTAGTTTCTAGAATTCTTGTTTGGCATGTTCCAATACTTGTAGCCGACACGGCATGCGAAATTATTTAAACCCACCCCAATGTTTTTCTGAGAAGGCAATCTATGTCTGGCAGAATGCATATTATGTTAGTTTATTTTATGTTTGAATAGAGTGGGCTATATCAGTCCTTCCGCTGCTGCCTTTAATTAGATCTCTATTGTGGCTCTCCGATAGATTATATGTTTCACCAATTAGATTCAGCTTCTTAATAAAGCTGGACATCTTTGTAGATTGAAAGGGAATTCAAGTCCGTTGGTCGGAGTTCGGTTTCTCCAAATCAATGCTCCAAATGCTTTATATCTGGCTCTTGCGAGGGCTGGACAGTTGAAAACTATCGCTAGATTAATATTTTATTGTTCCAAATGAATGAGATTCCCACTTATACTGCACTATACTTTACATTTAAACCAATGAAATATTTATCTAGCGACAGCTTGCATCGCGGCGTCGTGTCGCGTCGCCGAGCTGAGTGAATCGTAAGTGAGAATTGACCCTAACTTCGTCTGAACCGAGGTCTGAACCTTCCGGAAATGTGTACGAATTTGTCCATTACTTATTGTATGGATCCAATGGAAATCTCAGAATTTGGTCTATTGAGGACAATGACTGACCAAAAAAAAATTATTTTTTTTTCGTTCATTTATTTTGCTTCGGCCTATTTCCGCGACCAAGTCCAATCACCGACGCCAGGGAATTTGTCACCCTCCATCTGGAAATTTTGCCGAACCCATCTTTATGGATGGGTGCATAACATCACTGATACACGGGACCAACAGTTTTACATCGCTTCCCGAAAGTCGAAAGATGGCGTTCCTTGCTCAATACCAAACTCCAAATATTAACATCGACATTGGGCGGCCCAGGGATTGAACCTGGGCCTGCAGGCACAGAGACAGGAACGTTATCCACTAGACCACAAAGCCGATAAAAAATAAATTGACATGTAAAAGGTCGTATTGGCGTCAAAATTGTATTTTGAACTGTGTACGCATTCGTGGTATATACTGACATTTAAGTATGTATACCATCTCATCTTAACAAAAATATGCTTCTAGACATCACCATTATCGTTGTTAAAAGAAAATTCCTCAACGCTGGCAGCTATTTAGGGTATTGCTGACACTGATAAAATATTTTTCTATTTTAGATTTCCGCGGTGACCCTTCAGCGTATAGCTTTGAAATTAATCAACAAAAAAAGCAACGAACTTCAACGATATAATCAACGATACATTCCTTAAAAGACTTGGAAGTTTATATTTTTTTATAATTAATTTTCTAAACTAACTAAAATTTGGTCAATGTGATTATCTGGCGAAATCGCAATTTGACTTCTAATAATAATTAAAAAATAAGAAAGTGTCCAGTATAAATGTGCAACGAAAAGTGAAAAAATGTCCACGCAAAATTATTACAAGGAGAAGCTAGGGTTCGATCCTAGGGAGTCGATCTACAGCGATGCGCCGCCGGAGAAATATCGGAAAACGGAAGAGGTACCGCACGGCTACGAGGAAAATCTCACCAAATTCAAAGGTACTATATGGGATTTATTTATACAGTCTACATCAGGTACGGTGGTGGGTTTTAAATTTTATAGGCATGATGAGTGAACTTTTTTATTACTGAACACTAACATGCCTAATTCAAAATGTTTGGCGCCAAGGAGTGTGGTGTGTATTTTTTTTTTAACAATTTGGTGTGGCTCCAAAATTAATGTTATAATGTTTTACTTTTTTCAGGAATATTTATAACAATTTCTAATTTCATTTGCAATTTTTTTCCGGATATTGGAAATTATTTAATTTTATTTGCAAGCGTATATGTAATCTTGTCATTACTGACTTTTTAAAAATTTGGAAGTGACACTTTACCTGTGTCACTTCCCTCTTCGATTTCCCTCACCGATTTGCCTATTCGACTTCCCTCACCGATTTCCCTCACTCTAATTTATTTACCTTTGCTGGCAACAATGAGAACATGTCAGGTAAAAACGTCAAAGCAGTGAATGACACATTTTTGCATGTTTGTTTTATTTTTCTATTTGCAACCATATATGTAATCTTGACATTACTGACTTTTTAAAAATTTGGAAGTGTCACTTTACCTATGTCACTTCCCTCTTCGATTTCCCTCACCGATTTCCCCATTCGACTTACCTCACCGATTTCCCTCATTCTAATTTATTTACCTTTGCTGGCAACAATAGAAACATGTCAGGTAGAAACGTCAAAACAGTGAATGACACGCATTTTGGCATGTTTGTTTTATTTTTCTTATATTCTAAAAAAATTGAATGACATCATACTTAATGGTGCGCTTGCAAATAAAATAGTATACAAACCTCGGAGGAAAGTTTTCATTTCTGTAGCTTCGCGTCTCGATTGACTATATACATCTCTCGACAGTAATGAAACACTTCCCTACTCGGTATGTAATATACTATTTTCTGCGATTGACAAGAAATGTCAGCATTTTTGACCGGTTGAGAGTTCGCAAAACTCAATATTCTGGTATTTCAATTATGTTTCAATAGTTGCTAAGGAATCAATGAATAACAATACAGGAAACACTTTTCCGGCCTAGGCCGGGAAAGTGATTCTCGTATTGCTGAATAATTGGAACTAAAAGACAAACATTTAACAGGTATTTAACCGATCGCAGAAAAAATAGTATGTGTATTTTGGTGGAAAAGCACATTCTCGGCCTTCGGTGTTTGCCGGCCTCGGCTACGCCTCGCCCGTCAACTTACACCGTCAGCCGAGAATGTGTCACTTTTCCACCTAAATACACAATATACTATACCCGCAACATGACAAGTCCTTGAGTCTTGATTTTGATCACACCCATCCATACATTTACTTTGGTTCTCTATCTGGCCTGTAGTGTAGAGTATGGGTACTGCGGCTCACCCAGAACGAACTTCATGAGAAGACTTCGCGTTCTACGGAATTTGTTTACCAGCTTTCTAATGGCTTCACTGATAGCAATACTAAGATCTGGTTGTCTGAATTTTTGATAGAAATCTTCCCGAACCTTCTCATGTGTCTTTCGCACAGTAGTCGTGTCGAAATAAGGGCTGTTCTTTCTTCCATTGGAATACTACAAATGGAAGAATTGGTAAGTGATTTAGGAAGAAATGTCAAGAGACGGTTGAAGCACCTCTCTTCGGTCCCAATTGTCACTGTTTTGGTGCCGGCAACCCTCTTTGCGTCATCATATCATTCGGTAATTGGTCTTACTGTATTCGTTTGTCCATCCCATGGGCTTCAGTGGATGAGTTTTTTGATTTATCTACGATCCTTCCTCATTGCCACGTGTCCTGATCTCTCCTTTGATTACAAAAAGAAATGGTTCGTTTTATTGCTTTTATATCCACAGACGCGTTCGATTTTTCAGTTCCTATCAGTGTGGCTAGTAAAGAAAACAAACTCAGCGAAAAGTCTACCACTGTTGTCAGTCGACTACGTAAAAATGTTTTCTGATGATCCATTCGTTCCGTAGGTCAACACTGCAATACATTCATCGAAGGATTTAATATGTTGTGGAAACCTTTTATTTCTGATTTCTTTTGACAGCTTACAGAATGCTGCCTATTGTTCGTCGATTTTAATCTGATACTCGGACGGAATGTGAGCTGGTGGCTCCCTACATTAGAACGCCAATGGTTACCTGTTTTTGCCATATGAAACACCCCCTCGCTCCTCATACCGCAAGTATCAGTTAAAAATCGACGAACAATATCAGAGTAGTCATCTTCGTACAATCTCTACTTGCTTATTTTATTTCCTCATTTGTATTATTTGACCTAAATATGGGTATTTATTGACGTGCCCATTTTTGAATTTACTGTTACGTACCTAACCATCAAAAACATTAAACATTCTATTCGTCCTTAAAATTCTTATCTAAATGTGGTAATTACCCGAGTAATTACCTAATGAGATTTGTTGGGAAACTGTTTGAAACGAGAAACACAACAATTCAACTTCAAAATAAGAACAAACCAACCCTTTATACAGTTATAGAGGCCATGGTGCAACAGATTCGCAAATTTGTTTATCGAGGGACAAAAAAAAATTCCAGATCATGTCATCGGACCACCCTGTATCTTTAATGTTAATTGCAAGGTAATAATCTGGAAATGGTCGATAATATAATGATAATATTGACAAACGCGTTACCTTGAATGTTTTCTTAATATAGTCATGATGAGGATGGAAAACGTGAAATTGTGAAAACTAATATTATGTCGTTAAAAACCATCGTCGGCGGTAATTATTGAATTTATTGCACACGGGAGCCACGCATACAAAATAAAACTTGTTCAAAGTTATTTTTATTATTATAATAAATTTTCGTTTTAAAAAATAAATTTGCTTCTTTAAGGTCTTAAAATTCCTAGAATCAACAGATTAACCTCAACAAGACTTAATTCTTATGTAGTGCCTCTAAACTTCATTTACAGTAACATATAAATTATATAACTTTTTTTTGGCGATTCAGAAACTTGCTTATATTTATGTATTTTTACAAATTACCATATATGTCCACTTTTCAGTCTTCATAAATATATAAATATAAACCTCGTCAAGTCCGACCAGTCCTGAATACTGTTCCCACATCTGGAGCGATGCTCCCAAGCATTCGTTGGCCCTATTAGATGCAGTACAAAGAAGAGCAATAAAAATTATCCATAATCCGAGAAAGCGTCCAGGGATTCCCATATTTGGGAATACTTTGGTGAATTTTCAATTATCCCAGTATTCTTTAGTATTCCTGGATATTTCCAAAATATTTTCAGTATTTCCCAGGTAGTTCTAAGTATTTCCCGATTGTTACAAAGTATTGTCATGTATTCCTAGTTATATCCATCCTATTCTCAAGTATTCCTAAGTATTTTTATTGTATTCCCATGATGTTTTTATTAAAATAATTTCCTATGTATTAAGAGTTATTTTTACTACAGCATGTGATATATACTACGAGAGCTCGTGACACAAAACCCTCAGTCATTTGTTAGAAGGCAGTTTTTTGGTGCTTCAGTATGCCAAGTCCTCGGTCAACTAAAAAACTCGACAATTGGTATCGTAGATAATCGATCAAGGTATGCAGTGGTAGATCCAGGATTTTCTTCAGGAAAGGCGCAGGTTATGAATTATGAACAATGATTTTTTTAACTTTTTTTTTAACTTTACTTAGGTATACGTTGTTAAAGAATTTACAGGGTGTCCCAATTTGGACACTTGATAAGAAACGTAAATTTCTGAGACAGATTCCCAAAAAATTTAACCCCCCCTTCCCCCTTCCCCTCCACTGAGGCTCAAATTTCATTACAGAGGATGTTTCTAGATTTTGAGCAATACTGTGAAACCTTCTTTACTTTTGAAGCGAAAACTTCTCTAGAATCGTTGGGAGTGAGACTCAATGAGACGAAAAAGCGTCAGTGAGCATGCTAGAGAATGAGATAAAATACTGTTGTACAAAGTTCCTTATTTTTTGTCTCCCACTCTTGTCTATCAAGCGTTGTACAACGGTTGTACCTATGTATGTTAGTTGGCGTATCTCATACTCTTTCAGCTTAATTTATTGAAGGTTTGACTCCTACCGGGTGTGAACTGCACACATATTTTTTTTATTTATTGAAATAATTGATTTATGGTAGGTATAAAATTTCTAGAAGTACTTTTTCAAAGCAGAATCGAATGACGTAGGTACTCAAAAAAGTTATAAAGCTTTCTTAGTATTGCTAAAAATCGAGAAAAGCCCTCTAGAGACAAAACGATTGAATAGGTATTTCAAATTGGACCACCCTGTACCCTGTACATACATATTATTTATCAAAAAACGGAAAATAATAAAAATATGAAATACAAATCTATCTGATAAAAACAAAACGATAAATTGAACAAAGCTTCGGAAATTTTTCTATATGTACCTAACATTTTTTTTGGATTTTTTTTTCTTCTAAATATGCTTTTTTTTCAAATGTTTTGAGTTTTTGAGTAGTTTTTCAGACTGTCATGGAGGCGCGAGCCCCTTTCCGCCCCTGAAAGTATATTTATGTGTCAAATTTTGAGCCAATTCTGATGTTTTTTTTTCCTCCAGTTTCTCAAAATATTTAGCAGTTATGTAACCTGCGGATGAAATCGCATCTATAAGTTAATAAAAAGTGTGTATTATTTTTTCTATTTTTGTAAAATTTGTAATAACCCCCACTAATCCTTTAAATTATAGGGAGGTAAAAACAACTTCAATTTCGTAAAAACATGTGTTTAGGTAAAAATAGAGCGCCAACCGGCTACCAACCCAGCGCAGAACGGACGAGGAAGTGAAAATGTATAATTTCCACTTTTTTTCGTCCTTCTGACTTGTGGGGTAGGAACTTCCCTTGTGAACCTTACTTAAAATGCGGTGGGCAGGGTGAAGAGAGGGGGAAGGCCCGCCAACCTTTCCTGTTCAGGTCTCAGTAGGTCCATATTATTTATTCACAACAAAAAAAAAGCTTCTGACTCATAAGGCAGAAAGCCTTATTTTGGGGTAGTCAAAATTCATTCACCCCCCGGCTTGTGCACATTGAAACCCGCCAACCAATACGTGTTTTAGTTGGCCGAGGACTTGGCATACTGGGCCACCAAAAAACGACCTTCTAACGGATGACTGAGGCTTTTGTGTCACGGGCTCTTAGACTAATAGGCGTTTGAGAAATAGCAGTCAGAAAATAATACCTAAAATGTTTGCTAGTGTACATTTGAAAGCCGTTTAATATCACTTTTATTCAACAAGGAAATATTTGCCTTTTCCATAAGTATTTCAAACTGTCTCACTTGTATTTCAGATTCATCAATTGTATTCCAGTTGTTTAAGTTTAATTTCAGAAAGTGTTATTTATTTGTTTTTTTTGTGTAGAAAAGGTAATTTGTGTTTCAGTCTGGTCAGCTGTATTTTAGAAAGTCATTTGTATTTCAGATGTTATCAATGTAGTGTATCAAATAAAATTTATAATGGGTCACCTTTACACTTAGCTTGCGTGTTGATTTGGGAAAATCTGCGTAGGTATCTGCGCTCGGCGTTCAAATTTCCATGCGCATCACATTACATAGTATTTCTTATATTCCTAATAAAATAAATATCTATTATTATCTGAAATATATTATGATTTCTGAACTACATCTGACAAATTCTAAAATTCACGTTTTCTCAAATACAATCAACTGATCTGAAATTCAATTGATGCCTTCCAAAATAAAATTAAATAATCTGAAATACATTTGTCGCTTTCCGAAATAAAATAAACTAATCTGAAATACAATTGACTTTTTTCGAAATAAAATTAACTACTTAATCTGAAAAACAATTGACGCTTCCCGAAATACAATTAATTGTGTTAGGCCAAGATTACCTAATTCCTGAGCCTACTCCTTGATTCTCAATACCTTATTCTTGATTCATAAGAAGTTAACAACGTCTTTCTAAATGAGGGCGTTCATCCAAATGCTTATATCCTAATTTAACTTTTGAGAACCTCCTTGAAAACCAACTTAATGATGAGCAGTTTTACAGATAAAAGCGAATCTCTGGAATCACTAGACCGAGCACTAGACACGAATCAATAGTTTTTCACTTGTTACCTTTTACCAGAATACTGCAAATTTGGAATTTGAAGATTAGGCTTCGTATTAGGGGCCTCAAAAAAAAAAAAAACAAGGAAGACAAATTAAAATTTAAGAATTATGAAATTGAATAAACTTTGTATAAGTGATGGTTAAATTTTACGAATTACAAATAATCAAGGAGTTGGGTAATCCTTATAATATAGTCCCACCGCACATATTTTCTAAACTTAAACACTTACCGGCAAAAATGTTGCAAATTAAAATGCAGGGTGGTGTCAGACGACTTCATGGTGCCTGACTTCATCTCGACCGTGAAGGCATACGACGATTCTGATTGGTTCAATATTGACACATGCGCATCAACGTATATATTCCAGAGTGTATTCCCAACTGTATTCCCATGTATTCCTAACTCTATTCCCACTTTTCCCCCTGTATTTATAAGTATTCCTAAATAATATAAATGTATTCCAATGTATTCCCAACTGGTCATAAGTAGACCCATTGTATTCCTATGTTATTCCCTCTAAAATGTCCAGGGATTCCCAGATGTGGTTGATCCTTCGCCATAATCCAACTCTCACCGATTCATTGCAATTTCTTGAACATAGACGGCAGGTGGCTGAGCTGTCGTTATTCTACCACTATTACCATGGGAAATTTTCTGATGATCTATCTGGCCATGGCCAGCCTCATTCCAGCTGGGGAAGATGTTATTTTAGAGCCACAAGTATTTCACAGGCATCCCATCCGTATGTGGTAGTTCATCCCACCCCGCCAGGAGTGCGAGGGCCTCTATGGGGCTTCTTTCTGGTGGCGTAGTGCTAGTGATGACTCGAGACTGGTCTCGTCTCGTCTCGACTTTTCGAGACGAGACTGACTCGTTTCGTGAAGTCTCGACGAGACGAGACCAGACTCGGCGAGAGTCTCGTGTAGTGACTCGAGATTACACTTAAAAAAAAATTTTCATAGCTTTATTATTGGACTATTCTGGGCTATTTGAATATGAAATCAGTAAATTAAATATCAGGGTTACTCTTTACTCTTTACTGTGATTTTCCACTAATTGCTTTTTCACTGTGGCAGTTTGGACTTCCGTTATAATATAAAAACAAAAACCATAAATATAGGGTGACCAAAAAATAGCGTAAAAACTCTCCACGTAGTAGAGGACCCTTTGAGAAACCCTAGAAAAATAATTAAATTAAAAAAATCCTTCTCCAGCAATATTCTTGGTAATATGAAGAGGTAGATGTGAAAATTCACCTTCGAATTCTTCAGGTAGTTACATGATGGGTATTTAATTTAATTTTCTGACATATTGTCAACGGGATATTTTCAGTGTTGCCAATTTCAATAAATATTAAAATGCAAATAACTTTCTTAAGAATGCCACTAGATTTTTTAAAGTATTTTTCTGGGGTTCCTTGTAGGGTCCTCCACCACGTAGAGAAGAGTTTTTACGCTATTTTTTGGACACCCTGTATAACTCGAGACCAGATGAGACCACTCGAGACGAGACGAGACTTTGGTACTCGAGACCGAGACTAAATCACGGTCTCGTCTCGAGTTGTCGAGACGAGACGAGACCAACTCTAAGTCTCGTCTAGTCTCGTCTCGCGGCATCACTACGTAGTGCCCACCTCTGGAACTTCCTGCCTCCTACTTAATTTCCTGAAGAATTTAGCCTTAATGTGTTCAAACGGAGGGTTAATCGTCACGTTCTTCCGCTCATGGTATCGCTTAGGTAGTAAAAGAAGTTATATCTAGAAGTGAGCTTGTGTAATCCGCAAATTTAATATTTTTATGAGGATTTACTTATAGAAATTATGTTTTCTATTTCTATTGGGGAGCATGATAAAGAATATTCGAAGAGATAACCATCAAAAAACATTGAAAATTTTATTCGTCCATAAAATTCTTATCTAAATGTGATAATTAACTGATGGGGTTCGTTGAGAAACACCAAAGAATGGAACACGAATCCATAAAATTCAACTTCAAAATAAGAACAAACCGACCCTTTATATAGTTATAGAGGCCATCGTGCAACAGATTCCCAACATTGTATTCGAGGGACAAAAAAAAAACTTGCCGCCGATAAAACATGAATAACGGGCTCTCTTTATAGGCACATCTGCAAAGAGGCCCTATCATCTGGTCGGTTAAATGGCTCTGGTGCCCGTTAATACTGACGTAACGAAACAAGTGTTAAATATGCCGCAAAACACGGATCATCGGCTATGTTAATTGCATGCACTTCTGTAGACACCATACAGCAATTAAACTGCTATTTAGTACTACTTTTTGTTTAACGGGTGTGTTGTTGGTTGTTTTTGGATACAAAAGAAGGGATTTATTTTCAATAACATTATTCCAGTAACAAAAATTTATATAAGGTACATTTTTCACACACCCTTTTTTCCATTTTCAGACGAGAGAGACGCTGTCCAAAAGAAGACATTCACAAAATGGGTCAACAAACATCTGAAAAAGGTAAGAAATAACTTTTTATCCGTTTATTATGCATCGCGCTGCACTCTGATAAAGTTATAGCGACCATATATGAAAAGCTTCTTGAACAAAATTATAATAATAATTTTTTAATAATTAAGGATTAATGAGCACTAAATCCGGATATAATGCAGGTCTAAAAAAATAAGATGCTGTTTTTGAAAATACTTGATCAAATCTCGGGTGTGTTGGTTTGGTTTTCTAACTGACGAAGTCAAAAATGCTTCATCTAGCAATAATAGGTATACTCACTGATACAAACAACCGTTGTACGGACTTTTTTTGATCTCTGAAATAAATCGCCGTCTTATCTTATCGCAGCAGTTATAACTTATAAGTATGTGGTTTTGTTTATAGCATTCCTCCATAGAACGTCATATGTTTTGTTTATAACATAAGAATCGCAAGATGTTTCGTTTCGAATGCATTAATATTTCAATTTTATCTTGGGCTGTGAAGGATAAATATGTAATGTTAATCTCGCGAGAACGATGATATTGATTCTGATGGAAGCGTTGTGAATGTGTTGGGAGTTAACTTGATCTAAAGCCATATAAATCTAATTCAATTTGATGATCTAATTAATACTACTGACCCATATATTCGTTTTGTTCGCACCCTTGCAAATTTATTTTTGATCAAGCTATTTCCAGAGGATACATTGCCAAGTGCCGCATTAATAGATTTTGTTGTGAATGCATCGAATGCCTTTAGTTAATTTTAGAATCATCTAATAATCTTAACAGAAAATTTTGCATGAGATTCGATAAAACTTACACAACGACAAATTAAAAAAAAAGGTCGTGGACACAGTTTCACTTTCATTCGCGTAGGTGAACATACAGGTATTATTGTAGCATAATACGAGTGCAATAAGCCTATCGATACAATAATAATTTAATAATTGGCCTTAATCTCCTTCAACGTATGACGTGTCTTTTGACAGATTATTAATGGCATCGACCAACGCTCCATGGGAATTTATTAGCTAGAACGTCTTTTATGGCATAATTACTCGCACGATATATAAAGCGATCCCCATATACGATGCGCGATAGCGATGGTAATAATCTGTGTACGACTTCGTAATGCTTTATAGTGCCACTGGACACGTTTTATGGCTGTCAAGACTCGTGTGCTTTATAGCATACCTACTTGAAATATCCAATCAAAGATCTAAACCTTACCATCATGAATAAGGCTTATTTAATTTTTGGGGGTGAAAAAATGAGAAATGCTCTTTTTGGATAATTCGAAGTAGAGTGCATTCGAAAAAGGGTCAAGTAAAACACGACTAATAATTCGCGAGACAAGCTACCAAAAAATACCTCATTAACCGAATTTTATTAGCAATGTGCACCTCTTATATTCATTCAACAGTGCCCATATACGGTTGGTACGAGTTGGGAGTTAATGGAATAGGTTTGGTAGCAGCGGCTTGTAAAACCGAAACGACCACTATAAATTGTGCAAAACACGCTTTTCGAATAAATTAAACGTTTTTAAATGAAAAAGAAAATCCCATCTTTTAGCACTCAACCAACAGGGGCAGATGAGAAAGCAAGTAAATGAGGTAATTAGTGCTGAAAAAAGATGGTTTTGTTTTGGTAGAAGTTTTGAAGTAAAGATCATGTAGCTTTAATCGAGGATAATGGATAATATACAATGACTTGTTGAAGTTTCTTGAGTTACATCAGCAATAGCCACGCTCTACTTACTTCGTTCGCACGCACATAAATCATTTGATTTCAAATTTAAATTATTCCCCAGGCAATTATTTTCATGCAAAAGACATCCAAATTTTCAATTCTTATACAAACAATAAAAATAAATCAGGCAAGTTGTCCATCCAGGGTCATTATACGTGAAATCAGTTTAACAATGCAATTGCCCATATAAAGTCGAAACACATACGCATAAGTGAATCAGATAGGTTGAGGTGACACGTGATTCATAAATAAACAATCGGGCGCCTACAGTGAAAATTCTTTTATGCAAAAATGAAATTGGTTTTGTAAGACAAACATGATTCATCGTCTAAGATTGTTGAGAAAGAAGAGAAATGTAATCAGTTAATAGTCTGGTTTAGCATTGGTCTAATAGCCGGCAACGTAACGGGAAGAACTAACTTTCGGTCAGGGGTCAATTTGGTTGCGGTAACGTCACTTGGCCGAACATTACGGTACAGTCGTAATTGAAAAGTTTATAAGAAACATCTGAACAATGTTTTCTGCCAAAATTTTGAAGAAACCAGATAGTTCTGCATTTATTTTCCAAGACCAATATTTCACCACTGTAGTAAAGTTATCAGACTATCTGCGGAAAAGCCCGAGGAAGGCCCATTAGACATTGGTGGTTCTTGAAATCAAGATATGCTAATAGCATGAAGTCATTTTTGTAGCGCTTCAATTGGCAACCTACCCTTTTTCTTGTGGCGTTTTGTCGTGGTCTTCACTTTACAATTGATCCAGTCACTTATTCGAGTCACATGACTGGTCAAATTCCACTTTAAACAACATCCGTAACTCGTTTGAGAAGGATGCGAAATGCCTCGACACTTTGGCATTTGATTCAAAAATGTATGAATAAAGTCCAATTATTGAATTAATGACTCACAATTATTATTAAAATGACACAGTATGTTTCGAATGTTTCGATTTTTGAGGAATGTTAGATCGAGGGTTTCTCTGCCATACTCTTTCCCCTCGTTAGTTCCAGGATGAGAACGGTACGATTTACTTTAATAATAAAGTAGACGTTTCACAAATTTTTCGTTTCTTTTACATATCACAGCTTCCCTTAAATTTCCCAAATATTTGCTATGTCGGGCGCATGTCCAGTAAGTAAAATTGAGTAAGTTTCCACAACGTAGGTCCTATTTGTTTTTCATTTCGTTTTTTTTTGAAGATTTGTTGTATAAAAGGTAATAAAAATTCACACCGTTCAATCTTACTGAACGAACCCGGGTATGTTATACTACAAAATATTTCACATTAAAAAATGTCTTTCACTGCACAAAATTTCAATGAAATAGCTAGAGTGGTTTGAAAATTATGATAAAAAATAGTTTTTTTCTTAGAATTTCAACACCCTGTATCTCGGAAAGGAAGCGTTTCCGGACATAATATGTTTATATAGGAAACTAGGGCATATTTTCGACGTGGAATATGTCATAAAAATTTGGTGCATTAATTTCGGAGCTCCCTGTATTATCGTGAAATCGAATTTCTTGAAATTGTACTTTAACGGGGTATTGAAGAGTTTTAGTGACGCGCTCTTCTTTGAGCTGCACTTTTTTCTGCGGTGGTATACAGTTCCTTTCGCATTTCGCATAGATCTTTTCTTTTTGAAAGTAGTATATATACCTATGGTCTATTCTTCAATCAGTTAAGGCTCCGCCAATACAAATATGATCTCGCTTGCCTATAATACCAATGCAATTTAGCCAAAGAGTATATTCCATTAATTTCTTGTATTTAACTGTATTCTATAATCTTCAGCAATGTCTATCTGAGGTGGACTGTGTGTGTGGCTGGCGTAATTTTGATATTCAAGTTTTCAATGTTACAATTTTTTCAAATTAGTTAGTATGTTAGCTTTTTTTTATCAAAAAAAAAACCTATAACTCTTCTCATATTTGCTTGCTTAAATTTAATTTTAATTTGATTTTGATCCGACAATAATCATTACCACCTATCTGGTATGTATATAGTATTCGACAAACTAAATAAAATGCAAGAGAATCAATATACACAATTACTTAAAAATTTCATCTTCCATATTCAAATTGCGCAGACTCAGTTCTTCTGGATCATAATCTTTGATGTCTCAACTCTACGATGCTGGGTAATCTGGCTTGAAAGTCTGGATATTGATTTAGTAATGCGGGCTGTCGAAAGTAATGCCATGTTTTCCTGGATAAAAAAGTAGAAAATTTTTCCAGGAGTTTCGCGGTAAAGTGAAATCTGCCACAACTACAAAGTCCTTATTGAAAGTTGGCTTAGAATAATTGGTCCATTTTTATCTTTTTGGTTCGTAGTGTTGACCAACGGGCCCAAGATATACACATCTGCTAAGTTTGAAATTTCCAAAGCTCACGTACAATATCATTTGCGTATCTTCCTGAATCGATACACTTGAAAAATGGGCTTTCATAAATGCTCTATGAAGATGCCGTATCGACAGCCGATACATACAGTTTATCAACGCTCTCTATCACGATGCAACCATGCCAGTCCAAGTATTCGGGGCTCGATTCGGGGGAACTGATCCAATAATCTTTTGGAGAGGCATGAGACAAGGTGATGCAATATCCCCTAAAATATTCACTACATCTACACTACAGGACGTCTTTAAGAGACTCGAATGGGAGGCCAAAGGTGTTAACATCAATGGTGAAAAATTAAATAACCTTCGCTTTGCAGACGATATTGTACTTCTTGCCGAGAGTATGGATGATTTAAAGACAGGAGTTAAACAGTGCCGCAAAAAACTATGGCCTTCAAATGAACGCAGCAAAAACAAAAATAATGTCTAACTCTAATGATGATACAGACCTTGAGAACAACAGCACAATAATGACGAATACGTATATCTTGGACAAAGAATATCGCTCGATAATGACAGTCAGAGAGCAGAGATATCCAGAAGAATTCAGCTTGTGTACCGCATATGGAAAACTTGTGCTATCCCTAATTCTACAATGTCTTAAAACACAAGTGTTTAACCAATGTGTCCTACCGACCTTAACGTACGCTGCAGAAACATGGAGCCCTAATGAGGGTACCATGGAATGTTTAGGGATTGCTCAAAGGCAAATGGAGAGACGAATTCGACTACAAGATAAACGAATGGATCAGACAAAAGACAAAAGTTATAGACATTGCAGAACGGGTGGCAAGACTAAAATGGAAATGGTCTGGACATCTACTGAGAACAGATGATAATAGATGGACCAAAAAGACAACTGAGTGGAGGCCCAG